TGTAGCCTTTTTTACTTTGTAGAACATTATCTATTGAAATTGAAAGGAGGGCAAAAAAAAAGTGATCGACCAAATCAACCAAAGTCTTTTTCACAATCACGAGTTTGGCATATGGGAAATCCCAAATGAAAGGTAACTTTCTATTTCCACTTTATGGTATAGATGTGAAAATAGAACTATTAGTTGGCGGGGTATCCTGCTGGTTAGGTAAAATAGTCAACAGTGCTAAAATCCTTGATTTATTGGTGAAACGGAGCCCCCTAAGAAAACATACCTTACTTATTGGATTGTCCAAATTGTTTGAAAAGGATATACCGATTACTTTTCTAAAACCAAACATATGTTTCCTTCAAGCTATAAACAAAATCAACACTTATTAATTGCTTTGTTTATAAAATATTGAGGTTCCATTGATTATTAGTTTTCCTTAGTTTCAGACAATGAGAATGTTCTACAGTGGTCAAAATCAAGGGTAAAATAATCACACTTTTGACTTCTACAAATAACTTTTTTGTTTTAATTTATTCACCGATGTTGTTATCGGAATAAAGTGGCTGACGCTACTTACTATTTTACTCGAATTTGTGGAATACTATGGCTGATAATAAAAGAGGAAATTAGGCATGAATAGCTATTTTTACAAAACTACAGGCCAAATGATTTGTTTAGCATTTGTCAAGTTTAATAGTTTTTAATGTCTATACAATAGTTTTTTTTTTATGTTTTATAAACAAGCTATTAAATATACTGGGTATTTTGCCCTTTATAAAAATGTCGAAATTTTTGTCATCTCCACAAATTCTATGTCTAAGCCGCTTTTTAACGTAATTCTTGATGTATTTTTATATTAAAATAAATATCACTTTTTTGTATATTTCTGGATATTCTACCTATATCATTATTTAATTTAAATATTTAATATTCTGTATATTGCCCTATATTCCTAACTATATGTATATAAAAAAAAGCAATATGGTAAAAAGCAATATTTCCTTGAATCGTTATTTCCTTCCCAAATATTTGAGGAAAAAAGAATTTATTTATATTATCTAGTGATAATATTTTTTAATTCCATTAATGTAAATAATTTTAAGGAATACGTCTAAAAACGACTAATTTTTTTTGCTCTTTTTGATTCTTTTTTAGACTAAACCATGAAAAAATTTGAATCTGAAACAATAAAAGGGATCTATAGATTCAGCAAAAAAATATATGTACAGTTTAATTTCAAAAAGTCTAGAAATGTAAAAAACAACGGCTATAAATTATCTTAAAGAGAGCGACTTAAATGAAAATATTTAGATCCCGCGAAAAACAAAAATTTCAAAAAGAATCCAGCACTCCCTATTCTCAGTATTCAGAAAACATGAATGCAAATGCTAGAGAAGAAGTGTTTTTGTAAAAAAAAGCATGCTATAAAATGATATCATGTCAAACAGTGAGGAATATACTCTATAAATAAGGATATTGGTGCCATTAAAGGAAAAGGAACCCCATTTTATCAAAAAGAATTATTGAAAAAATGATTCAATTTTGGAATAACCACAACATATGGACAGTCAATGACAGGAGGAAAGCACTTTTTACAGATGAATCATGGTTTGATATACTCTCTAATTTGCACGATCAAAATTTCTACTTTCGATCGGATGATAGTCCCTCAAGCAGACTTGTTTAGGGTACATCAGGCTTTCGAGGCGGATCAATAATAATATGGGGCGCTACAAATAGGAATGGTGTAGAAAAAATATATAGGGTCAATCAAACCCTTAACTCAAAAAGATACATCAAACTTCTAAATGAACATTATTTAGGCACACTTGAGCAGTATAACATCTTGGGAAGTGATTCCATATCCCACTAAGATAATGCTTTTTGTTATACCGAAAAAGAGACAAAAGAGTGGATAAAGGCTAAAAACATTGACGTTTTGTCTTGGCCCACTCAGCCTCCAGGTATGAATCCAATAGACAATTACTGGGGCTACATAAAAAACGGTTGCAGAAAATAATCTGGAGACATAAAAAACAAGGATGATCTTTGGGAAAAAGTAAAATAAGAGTCATAAAATATACCAAATGAATTTATTATGAATTTATACTAGCCGTTTCATTTATGGGTTTTTAAATTAAAAAAACAAAAGGCGTAAGTGTTGAATACTAGTTATTCTTTAATTTTACTTTATTATTAAATAAAATTGATTTATAATAGCTTTTTATTGATTAAGCTACTTTCAAAATAAAATAAAATAAAATGTCCATAACAAAACAAACTTTTTTAGTGGACAGGGAGATATTACATTCTACCATTTTCAGTTTAAAAAATAGGTCTTCATAGTTGATTTCATCTTTTATTTGCAACCATAATGTTCCACAAATTTAAGTCAAAGGTCCAATACTTGGGGCCATTTCAATATCAAAGCATACTATTGTACAAAGTAAAATAAATAAAAAAGTTTGCGACCATTTTTTGACTTCTGTAATATTATATATGTTTAGTTAATGCTTGAAGTTGTTGGAAGATGTGACTTGCTTTTTTATACCTTGGTACTTTTTTATAGGCTGGGAGGATGAGCATAGCAAATGTCATCGA